CAGGAACATTTACCCGCAACCATTTTTTGGGTATCTTTAGTGCGTTGGTGCTGAATTCTGTTAGTTTGAATTGAAGAGAAAATAATTTTCTCTTTGGGAACTAACATATTTTTAGAAAAGAGTAAATATTCCAAGTAAGCTTTTTGACTTTCCGAATTTCAGACAGTTTGCGTGAAACCAATTAGAAATTTAATACTCGGATAATTCTACGTAAACGTGTTGGGCTTAAAAGGAAAATGTAGCAGTAGGATATGCATTTTGTATTGACCATATGCATTTATTGGGGGTCTAATGTTAAATATCTGACAAGGCCAAACCTTCAGTTTAGTACGATCTACAATACACAAATATGTACTAAAAAGTATGATTGCGAACACCTTCAAACTAGTGAAATTTAGTTTTCCGCAAATTCTTTTCCATTATTCGTTTGATATATATATTTATTTAATTTTTTAATACTACTACACAATATTGGAGTTCTCAACGACATAAATGTGTGTATCTAATTGGATAAACATCTAATCACCATAGAATTAAATACAATTGAGAAACGTGGAAATTTTAGAATCTCTTCTCAAAATGCGGTGAGGTTTATTTTCTTATTTAAGAACATCGCCACTTCTTATTTCTTGTAACCATAAACATGAAGGCGCAGATAATTTTTATGTGACGAAAGTACTTTTAATGTCATAAACTTTAATAGGGGCACGTCATCTTATAAAGTTAACGTCTCGCGAGATTCTGTAACCTCACCCCTGGGTGTCAACCGTCCCAGCTTAAGTCTTAAGTAGATAAACACCTCTAAAATTAATGTCTTGTGCAAAAGACCGCCAACATAAAACTAGAAGAGACATTTTTGTACGTTTCAATTTTACTCATAAGTAGAGTAGTATTTTCCTGATTCAGTCTCACGATTGCGATAGACTAAGATATCGTGAATTTTGAAAGACATATACCCCTGTTGCTCCATGCATCAAGTAGCAAATCGTAACACATCGTCGGAAAGCATATGCAACTCAAAACGAAATCATGCGTAGAATGCAGTTTGTTTACGAACGTATATAAATATTACGTTAAAGTTATTACATTAAAAAGAGATTATTAATAAAGGACAAATATATTTATATACACAACTAGTAGACCTGGCAATTCTTCGCTATTGTAATGTATTATACTTCACACGCTACTGGTCACGTGATTGTTAATCACGTTTTCCGCTACGTTCTGCAAAAATTTTAATAAATGAAAGACTTTCTCGCGAGTATGAGTTCGTTCTATGTCTTGGATTGGACATAGTTGCCAAGTCTCTCATTGTTAAAAGGATCTCCCTCAAGTTAAGGCATGCATTTGTTATGACACTGTCTTAGAGAAATTTGATTTATTTGTCCGAGATAACGTTCAAGTAATAATTCCGGCCGATATGTCCCAAGTGCAGGGGCATAATATGCAGCGAAGACGCGCTTAATACTTTAGGGTGCGATGGGTTGCGTAGTTCTCGTGTTCAGGGTCGCTTGAGCCAGCATAAACGCATAAAATCATTAACGCGCGTCTATGTGCGACAGATATATGCACATTACCAGTGTACTATGCCTATATTCTTCACTCACGTACAAGCAAGAAGTTTACAAACATTTATTTCAATCGTATGAACGGTACGGCAGTTCATAAAATACGATCAAACAAACATTGATATGTATATAATAGATAACTAGCTGAATTTTCCCACGTGACCCGGTTGTTCATTAATCATAATTTTCTATTAGACAGGAATTCGATGTATAGGAAGCCACCTTTCCCTGTCCTGAACCGTTCTGCCCTGTCTTGCCGTGTCCCTGCCCCGACCCGTTTGATTTTTCTCTGTCCGGTCTCCTACCCACCAAGCTCAACCCTGTACCACCTCGCTCTACGTCTCTTCCCCCCCCCCCGTCGTTCCATGTATGGCACGATCGTCGTTGCTACCATATTCATTGCTATGAATAACTGTAAATAGATATATTGATGCATTCTCCCGACAGACTTCCAATAAATATTTCGGCATACAATTACTCAAACTGGTGCTAATGGAATGAATTGGGAAGAATTTAGTGTGATTTTTTTAATTTAAGAATTATACAATGTACTTTAATGGATTTCCTTGCCCATTTCAAACTATTCGCCAAAAACTGAAATAGACCCCTTTTGGTATAAGGATTAGAAACGGAGGAAAGGGATATCTCATGCTAACAGTAACTTTTCTTTCGAAGGTCAGGCGTACAAAACTGCATTACGATCGGAATAAAATAGATTTGTATGCAAAACAAACATGCATTCTCTTTTATATACGGGAAAATAACAAATTGTTAAAAATATGGCCGAAGTTATGCCCTAAACACATTCTTCCTCTTCCTGTCCATTAACGGACGGACAGAGAAACAAAAATCATGAACTAATTGATTTGGTTTTTATGTCATGTAAATAAGCATATGACAGTTCAGAAAGGCAGTTATTTTGTAATCACAGACAGTCACTCCAATTTTATTTATATAGAAGATTGAAGCTGTATATAAAATCAGATATAAAGCAAAGTAAATTTACATATACTTGCATTAAATTTCAATGTAATGTTAATACTTTGCTTTATTAACAGATCTAGTAATTGCAAACTCTATTACCACGATACTTGTACTGACACTTTAGATCTAAGGCATTGTACAAATATTTTATTCTCGGGGGCCATTGCTATATTTTGATTCCTATTTACGTGTGAAGCTTTTGCATTCCATATATTGTATTTTGCCTTTGGCAAGACAGATTGTATGGTGGAGCAAGAGAACCATGAGCTTTAATGTGGCCACGCAGCACGTTGTGGGAGTCACCTATAGTCGGTAATGGCAGCGAAGTGCCGAAAAGGTGGCATCTGCCCAACAACATTGTTGGTCCATAATGAGACTGAGAGAGAACCTCCACACTCGGGTGATTGGGAGGATAGTCGACCTAGGCTCGCAACCGGGACTCGCTACTGTCTGACTCTAAAATGCAGCTAGTATGCAGCTAGAATGCGTCCCTGCTATTCTACGGATTCACTGTATTCTTCTCGCCGGCTAAGAGAGCTAATAGACAGCCTTGCCTCAGGCTCAGCAGTGTCGCTATCCAGTAGATCCTAATGTTCGAGTCTCGATGGTGGCGGATTTTCGACTCTAGCTACTCTAACATAGCTACATCGAATTAAACCACTGTCTGGAGGAGAAATCAAGCAACCAGATCGGTAGTGCTCAATGCGTGGATGGGTAGTTTTCCGCGACTTGTCTAATCAATATCAGGCGAATGCCGGTTCAGTACCTTAACAAACTAGTCACGGACCGCACGCTATCTTTCCTTTCTTGTCCTTGTCTCCTCATCTCCCTAACATGCATACATTACCACTCGTGTCGGCAGACAAGTCGGGAGCTTAGCGTTTCCAGCTGAGGCGGTGCCTCACTGGCGAGATATCTGGTGGAGGAAACCTCACAAGCCGACATGTAGTTCGTCACCACTGTCTAGCGGGAGGGAGAGGGAACACACCCGCCTCTCGGGATGTAACATGAACCACACTTACGGGAATAACGACGATAGTAGTTGACGTGCCTCGTAACACTGAATAACACCATGTAACACATTTTTTGTTTCTGGTAACCAACATCCTTTTGTTATTAGTTATAACATAAAAATATGAAAAAACATACTTCAATACAAAAACTTTGATTTTGTGGTCAGGATAACGAAAAGTTGAAATTTGCGTTCTGTAATGAAGAAAACACAAATTTTCGGGTTTATCTTCGTTTAAACAAGAAAAAGAGAACATTAATTTCAAATCAATAGTACATGTTAAACAAAATCGTACAAATTTACTTTCTACAAGCACAAATGTTTATATTATACAAATTTTATACAAATGTGAAATCAGAGTCTCAAATAATTCGACATAGTTCTCAACTTTATGATTTCCAAGGAAGTCTTTAACTCCTTTAAGAAAACTGATCCATGCCTCATTCTTCTCCGCTCTGAGATGCTTGGGAAACATTTGACACTAAAAAACCTATTTGATTTGTGGTCCAACGAAAACTTCACCTTTAACTTTCGCTTCGGAAAACTTTGTAAACAGATATTGTAGATGCTTGAATGTTGTAGATTATTGTCCCAAACTGCCACACATCGCTTCATCAGTCCCATTTTTATGTGCAACGGTAGAATTAGTACCTATCGACAGTCTACAAGATGCTCCCATTTAATGTTGTAATTCCCCTCAGTGAACTCAGTACGATCAAGCCAATATCATTTATGGTAGTGTGCTTTAGTGTTCCTGCTATCTTGCAGACAAAGATAGCATGAAAACTTCGTAAACCCTCCTTGAAGACTCATCAAGAAGGCACACATTTTGGAGTCTCCAATGTCTTCCTAACCATAATCTTCATATTTCAATGCATTTCAGCAATCTCTTCACATTGCGGTACTCCTCTGTTTGCAGAGATGAATATGCAGGGGGAATAGATAGAAACAAGTTACGGTTATAGAGTAATACTGCTTTCGGACACTCTTATGAACAAACTTATGATAAGTATAAAGAGCCGCCATGCACTAGGATGGAATGTAATTCCAATGTTCTCAGACAAACGAGATACGTCATGTCAATAGCAGAGTTCATCTTTTTTGATAAAGAAAATGAAAAAATTGTTATTTTTTGAAAAGAAAACGATTATAAAAAATCTATTAAAAAATGGGTACCAAAAGAATACAAAAAATGCAAAAGTCTGTAGTTATGTAATTATCATTGTGACGCTTACAAAAGCAAAGTTTCAGGGGTGTAAGTACTATTTTGTATATATTTACTGATCAATTAAATAGAAATCAATAATGTCAAACCACAAACAGACTTTTTGAAAATTTGTTTCGTAGTGTAATCGTTCAATCTTGTACTTCTCCTTCACACATATTGTGTCTACGTTTTTTATCAATAAATCAATAAACGGTTGTCGCATCCCCAGGAGACAACACAGCGGCCATCCAGCGCCAGGAGTCCGGCGCATCGGAGGCGCTGCGCCGCCCCGGCAGCGTCGGCGGCCGGCGCCTGGCGGCGGTGCTGGCGGCGGCGCTGCTGGCGGCGACTGCGGCGGTGACGCCCGCGGCCGTGCTGCGCTCCCTGTGGGACGGCGCTAGGTGAAAACGTTGGAGATCCCACGCCGCCAGCCCGGTAATCAAATGACACGGGCGAATGCCACGTCAAGCGAACTTCCTCGTGCGTGCTGCAGGTAGCGGTGAATCCAGGCTAAATACTGTGTTCCTAACAATTTTTTTTTTGTAGGAATAAAGACAAAATATACCAGAAAATAAGAATTTCGCGATTGCACCAAAGGTGATTTAAAACGCGTTAGGTCCTCTATATCGTACGTGTATGGGTGTTGGACGAGTATGGACACGGATTAACAAAGCATTATTTGGCGATATCGAAAACCTTCCGCTTAACATTGTAGCACCTAGACGCCCCTGATAGAACAGTTAGAACATTATGGCTTATATTACATTCATCCACCATTCATTCATTCATTCATTCATTCATTCATTCATTCATTCATTCATTCATTCATTCATTCATTCACTCACTCATTCATGTATTCATCTGGCGCGCCGAACAGCGTCTTACGATGGAGGCCTGGATATGGGATATCGCGGGCTCGATCCTAAGTGTAAAAAAATTTGTTGACCGTCAGCGAATTTGTGGTGCCCGCCGGGATCGAGTTCGTAGGTCGACTGCTCTGATTCGTCAACCTCAGAGGTATCCCCAGATGGAAGTATTAAAATATAATCGGTAGCCCAAACAATTTTTTCACAATTATTTTAGTTCATAAATACTGAAGAGATATTTTAATTGTTTTGTTAAACACCCTTTAAAATATATTTAATTCGGACTTTTAACATATTTTGATTGCTGGAATAATAATTTTGTTATAAATCAGAATTATGTAACAAATAATATTGCTTACACCATGCGTTTAGAGACCTGGCGGCGGGGTGTGCAGAGGGAACATGTTTCCTCCACCAACACGCGCACGTATCGACGAGAGGACGTGCGAACGCCCTTCCCTGTGTGTCATTGAAGCTGAACTGCCACCGCCGATGGGTCGGCCAACCTTCATGGGCGGCTTCTCTTGCGGCCATGGCTGTGAATTACACGTGGCGATTTTGAGAAACGTTTGATGTAGTACGGACAGCTATTATAAAAGAAAACATATAATCATTCTAAACGGCAAAAACACCCGAAAGACAAGGGAGACGAGACTCGAAGTAAGATACAGAGTACGATTTTACTGAGGGTTGCCGTGGCACGGACAGATTTCCGTCTGCGCAAACTAGGCGTTTCACCTTGTATGGAATGGAGACTTCTTTGCATCTATGCATTCTATAGATGGATTTTGGACGGTACTGTGTAAGCCGGTAAAGTTCCATGTCAATCCGAGAGTCCAGTATGCCGACTGTGAAGGATGAGCAGAGCTTCTTCGGAAATAATACTGCGAGTAAACTGCGTATCTCGTTTAGGTTCAAAATCACTTAATACATAATATTATTTACTAAAGTCTCGCTTGGCGCAGCGGAGAAATCGCTGCACATCTATCGCAACGTACGTCTACGCAATCGATTAATACGAAAGAGATCCTGTTTCCATTAAATGAAATTCGCTATCGATTCATTATCCACTTCTAACAGGGCGGCGCACGTGGAACGTGAGAATCGGCGTCGCAGAAGAAACCCACTGAGGTCACCGTCTCGTCGACATACTATTTTTCAAGCCAAAGAATGACCTTTGTGGTCTCTAATCTCTGGGAGAGAGTATAGGATTAGGATAGACTCACTCGTTAGCGTGCGCACAAAGGGGGGGGGGGGGAGAAAATGTGGAGAAGGAGGCTCTCCAAGTTGACTGACAAGATGTAAATGATTTAACATAAAATCAATCGTATTAATCAGTTTATCATTAAAGTTATAATTCCATTCTCATTGTAGAATATTTTATTAATTTAGTAAAATATGACAGAAGTAAATTTTCCGTGCATATTTCAGTGAAAAGGGCGCCCAGAAATGTAGTTGCCCCATTCCCCTTCTTGCTTTAGGCTGCGCACGCTCGATACTGCCCCTCACTGCTTCCTAGGGCCAGTGAAAAGCATCCGATTGGCTGGCTTGAGAGAAACAAGACCTTCTTCAAGTCTTGCGGGAACAATCCCCGATTTGGCATTATGGATTATCAGTCGTTGAACCTGCTGCAAGCGTGCGGTGGTAAGCCTGAGCGTTCTTCAGGCGTATTTGAAAAGTAAATTTCGGAAACTCAAATTCGTTTTGTGAAAGTCCATTTTCCTGTTAATAGATAAGTCACCTGATTAGTGTTCTAATTCTCTGTCCATTACACTTTAAACAAATCGTCACCTAATAAGTTTCTATTATGAATGTTGGGATAGTTCATTTGTGAAGCGTAGTGAAGAATAATCCTCGTGCGTCTCACAATCAGTAAGCGACCTGTCTGAACTTGCACATTTGTAGGTAAAATTGTAGAAAGATATAATCATCTTTTCCAACATTTTTACATTGAACATCGGATAAAGTGACTGTATATTTTCTGCACAGAAAGGCATGCTTTCTTGTAGCATATGCAGCAAACCAGCGTGAACGATGAGTGAAGGGGGTGTCAGAATTAATGAAATCGTATATTCATTTGCAGAAAAAATGCTTGCAGGTTTGGCAACATAATATTTTAATTATCCATGTAAGTTTTAATGTATCTTCAACCTTTATAATTTTCTTTTGTATTTTTATTTTCAGTGTGCTGTCCATTTTTTCAAATGTTGTTATCAATCTTTGATATTTGAAATTTAATTTTTATCATTATATTATATCTTATCAAAATTATCTATTATTTATATTTGATGCATCGGTAATATTATAACTAAGAGTTTGTTGTTCAGTGAATTAGCTGCTAAAGTGTGGAACAGTTAATTTTCTTTTCTTTAATGACATGTTAATAGTGTCATCACTTTTTACTGAAGCCAAACAAGAGTTGTTTTCTTTTTCTTATGCCATATTGCAGCACAAGAGAGTTAATAAAAAAATTGAAATTTTCAGTTAAATTATTATTGATTATCTTTCGACATTATTATACAGATGTTCTTTTTTAATTTGAAACACAAGAATGTGAGACAAAAATACAACATACTGTATGTATTTGACAAAAAATATTAAAAACTCGAAATTTAAAAACTGAAAATGTTAAATTATAATAGAAAAATATTTCATATTATTATAATGTTGTTAAATATTTTTCCACTTTTTTGTCCAGTTACTAAACAGGAGGGGCCCTAACCTGTTGATTTCCTCTGGCCCTGTGCTGAGGATAGTCCCCCTCTAGAGAATGATGTCCCCTGCAAGAAAATTATTAATATGTACTGAAAGAAACACAATACAAATAAAAATGCTTCATTTATGATTTTCCACACACTACAATTATTAAATAAAGGAATCTAAACAAAGTATCTTTGAAAAGAAAACTTTTCCCAAGAGCATTCTTTGGATTTAATCAGAATTTGCACTGAAAGAGAAAAGTTAATTATTGTTTTAAGGTTTTTTACTGTACGTACTGAAAATAGTTCAAACGGCCAATATGACCTAACAGAGAATAGTATTACTACACATAATAACAGCCTACATCTCAACGTTTCTTACAGATTTTCGTACTATATAGTTATAATTTTTTTCAGACTGTTGAAAAGAATAATTTGGCTATCTTTATTTATTTATTAATGTCAAAAACACTTAAATACTGTGTGTGACGCGCTACGGGGAGAAGTTCATTTGAAGTTATTTTTATGTCCAGAAGCAAAACAAGGGGCCATCTCAGCATTTGCTCAAGGATAAGGAAAGTTGGACGAAAACCTGATCAAGATGGGGGTCAGAAGCTGAAGTACAATACTTGTTAAAGGTTCTTTAGATTTATACAATCCAAATGGTAAATAATACATTAAATGTCATTGTCATTTTGGATGCTCGGTGTAGTCTAATTGTATAGAAACAGTTGTGCAACAGTAAAGATTTTACTTGGGACTTAAACTTTTGCATCGAAGTTAATCGTTTAATGTCATCTGGCAAGGTGTTTAAATTAATGTAAATGTATTATATGTGTTGTTATTGTTGTGAGTTGTTGATGCTGGCACCTGAAAATGTATATCCGCCCTTACGTAAGTCATTTTTGACAAAAACCACTGATTCATATATCAAGAGACAAAGTAATGGTAAAATCTCTAGATTAATAAAGAGGGTATTACAAGAATCACGTGGGTGGGATTTGCTTAACATTCGTACTTTTTTTGTAACCTAAAAGTCTGGGAGCTATAAGATGTATTTCCCCAGAATGTATGCCATATCTCAGGCGGGAATGAACATTCGCGAAATATACACTACTATGGAGGCTGACTGAATTTGAAAGAATTCTGAAAGTGTAGCATAAAGAACTTAATTTATTGTTGAATTCATTTAAATGGACGTTCCATTAAGATTTGACTGAATTGAAAGACTTAAAATTTTGTTACATGAACATCGGTCAATTGCAAACCATTCATTTTCAATGGAGTGCAGAGCTGTTTATTTGAAATGGAAAACTGCATTAAAACCGTTTTCTTTTCATTTACTATTAATTTGTTATTACGGAACCAATTTGAAATATCTGATATTGTACTATTTACGTTTTCTTTATTGCAAATAATGTTCGTATTATCCGCAAAGAGAACTGTTTTTCCGTTTCTAAGCGTCGAGGACATATCGTTTACGTATACGAGTAGAAGAAGAGAATAGTGCCTAAAATAGATCCCTGTATAGACTTCATATGCTATTGGCAAAGAATCAGAAAGGTGTGTACATAATGTTCCATTATTCCTGCAAGGTATTTCTACTCTTTGAGATCGTTCTTTAAGGTACGAGCATAACCACTCTAGAGCAATATCACGAATTCCATACGAAGGTAATTTTGAAAGTAAAGTGTTATGATCAATGACGTAAAAAGCTTTTGAAAGATCTGAAAATATTCCAATACGTGCTTTGTTTTGATCCATGGGTAGAGCGACGTCTTTAAGAAGAGAAAATATGGCTGTATCCGTAGATTTTGATTTTCAAAACCCGTGCTGGCAA